GGTCTTGGGTGCTTAGTTCCACCTTAATGTTGTTGTTAAGGCCGTGCCAGAAGGCCGCGCGCAATAGGTGGTCCTCCCAGCTGGCCTCTGTGGCTAACTAAGTATATGTATAGTCCATTGACCAGAGTAGGGCAGTGATGACTGAGGAGACCAGGACTGGCAGGGGGGTAGACAGGGGGACTGTAGGGAACAGGAGAGTCAGAGGAAGTGAGGCAGGTCCGGGCAAACGGACCTGACACAAACTAGATATATCATGTTGTATATATTCTTTAGAACTGATTTAGTAGGAGGATTTTGTTGCTTTAGGACAGAGCCAGACTTGCTGGTGCTACTGTAGCTCCAGATGTAACATACAGATGTGAAGGTGGCATCAATACCAATCAGCCCAGTCATTACCAATAATCTTAGCTTCATGTCAAGGATAGAGCAGGGCAGCAGGGCAACAACAGCTAACCACAGTCGAAACAAATATATCTGCGTGATATTACAACAGGCAGAGAGTAACATTTTATAACAGTTTGGTATAATTCAGTTCAATGAGCAAATTGATGAATTCCCTGGTGAATAATATGCAGGGCTTATACCTATATTTATGCACAAAGCACAAGACTACAATAAGTTTTCTTTCTCCAAAACCAGAGGAAACATACACACACATAGAATCTGGAGAGTACAGTGTGGCTATCACACAGAGCTTTCCATCATATTGTCCCTCACATCCGCTGCCCTTTCTCATTACTGCACCCGCCTGATTCTCTGTCTCCTTTACCTCTCCTTCAGCCAAACCCTTATTTTCTCTCCTTCTCTACAGCCCTCCACATTACTCCCCCACACCCTTTTCTTTCTGCAATACAGACTATCCTTCCATGCCAACAAAAATGAACAGAATTCCTCAGGATGCTGGTGGGTAGGTGGGGATGGCAGGTGGGCTGACATGTTTTTACACTGGGCCTGATGTCTTCAGAGCCTCAGACAGCATGTTCGCAGTCTGAAAAAAGGCCACAGAGTGGTTTCAGAAGCCAAGAAGTGATTTTTAAAATTTTTTTTTTTACATGTGCACACCAGTCAGAGTGCCAGAATTAGACAGCGGGTATCTTTTTTTCACTGCTCCTCAAATCTGTGAAAATGGATTGATGGAAAATACATTGCTACATTTTTGTGACTATACAGTATATCCATGCTAGCTCTATCAGTTTGGGCAGATGTAGTTTGCTGCAAGTCTCTGCAGGGTTTTTTTTCCCCTGTCTGCTGCTTCCAGAGAGGGATTAATGACAAAACCATGTCAGACTAGTGATGCAAAGAGGATAATTAGGATTCACAAAACACAGTTTGTCCTCAAAAGCAAATCACTTCCCTGGTGCTCAGGGGCTACCAAGGCACAGATCATTTTATATATCAGCACCTAGCAACTGGCAGATGGAGTGAACTTAGTGCAGGCTGCCAAAGCTGATAGGACACTGCAGGACTGCAAAATGAGCTGTGATGATTCCCCTGATGAGGCCAACAAGAGAGACATACCTCATTAAGATGCATAGCACCCTCGAATGCCTGGCCACAGTTTACAGCAGCAAGTTGCCCCTTTGCAAAATGTTCACAGTGCCACTGAAAACACAGTTTGGAGCTGATGAAACACAAAACAAACACAGGCCAGCTTGGTAACCTATATTCTGGTGAACATCAAATATCATAGAAATATAAACTAAAAATCTAGTTTGGAGCCCACTTACCCATTAACGGACCTATATACACAATATTATGACATTGAAAACAGTGAAACCATTGTCTTTCACATCACTTGCAGCTATTGATATCTGCATTGTGCAGTGAGTCAACAGGAATTCTATTCATTTTCCCCCTCAGAGAGTTGTGCTACCTGCTGAGTTAGTGCTGCGATGTCCTTGTGCTGTTGCTGCAGTGCCTGAGCCATCTGGTCCATGCGTGCGTCCTGAGATGACTGAGATGGCCAACTGCTTGCACAGGAGCCGGCAGGATCCATGTTGGCCAGTTCATTCTGTTATGTGCCGTTTGCACCTGTCAGTGAGCGAACGAGAAAGAGGCGGACCCAGGTAGCCGACTTCGATGCAAGCAGTGATTTATTATGTACAGTGATGAGGAGAAATAACAAAATGCACAGAGGGAAATGGTGCGTAGTCCTGTTGATGAGTAGTAACCGGGTGTTGACCAACAGTAGGAGGTGAGGAGATGGAGAGATGGAGAGCTGGGCCGAGCTGCGTAGGCTGGGTCACTCCTGGGCTGCTCGGTGGTGATGGTGGCTACTGAAGGTGGAGACAGAGAGAGATGATGACAATACTAGAACAGATAGGCGACTGAGCATTGACCTGCCTGGGAGGGGAGAGTGGAGCCACGGTCCGGAGGAACAGTCCATGGGGAGAACACAAAACAGTAGCTGGCTAGGGGATAAATACATACAAAACAATGAAAACGCACGGAGTAAAGTTGGCCTAGAGACTAGAACGAACTGGCAAGTGACTGAGGAGTGAAACCGGGTGATATAGTGAGCAACCTAATCAAGTGTAGCTGGTGATAAGGGAGTGAGGAACAGGTGAACGTGATTAGTGTTAATGGGCAAGAGACAGTAGGAAAGGTGAGGGAGGCCAGAGCGGCCGAGCAAACTTGACACCAAGCCAATACCAAACCAGAATAATAAGGGCTGCCTGCTCATAAAAGTCCATACTTTTTATGTGAAAATGATAATGGTATGACTTCTGTAACTTAGTGTCTTCCACAGTACAGATTTAACTATAGAGGTGTTCAGGTCTGTTGGTCTATTAGTTGCTGCACTTTATTCCAGCTCATGTTATTGTTGCTCACCAAGTGTTCAGCTTTGCAGTACTAAGTTAATGGGTAGTTACTATCTTGCAGTAATATTGATGTATTTCACTGGCAAATGACAAATGTAGAGTTGCAACTACATGATGTTTACTGAGGTGCTCGCTGTTTGAAGTGCAAATACATGTTTACATCTGCTGTTAAAATTTGACATCTGACGTAAGTATATGTTATTGGTGTGTATTTTACAGCTAACTTGAAATTAATGCAGTCTAGCACTACACATGGTGAGGAGTTGTGCACTTTGTTGGTTCGGCTCTGTCTACTTTTTGAAATGCACACTTAAG